TAAAATGAAGCTCGTCTACTCCCAAAAAAAAGCCCTGTCATAAAAATTATTAAATTATGTTTTATAATTGTGCATCTCAGAACATTTGAATATCACGACTATCAAATTTTCATATATTCCATGTTCATATTCATTACACATAAAGTGAAATATTGGAAGCGTGTTTTCAAACTGTGATGATTATTATTAAAGTTCAGGCTGCTTTGCTGGCGCTCTTCAGCTCGTCTGGTCGAGTGTTTCTCGTCAGGTGAGCTCGAGGACCAATCAGAGAACAACATGGTCATCAAACCATTTGGCTTGAAAAGAAAACCGACGTCTCCATGAAGCTCTTCATCAGATGGAAGCTGACGGCTGTGTAGATGACAGATGACATCACAGACTGCAGAAACATTAAACAGCTTGGACTCTGTGCATCTCTTCACTCTGCTTCCGTCATTTCCAAATAAAATGTAAAATTTACTTTAATCTGAACGACAGCCTTGGTCTTTTCTCCTGATCCTGGGAAGCACACTTCTGTTGTCTCGGGTTCAATAGTGGGAGCTTCTCATTCCTGGAGCCTCTTTCCTGATGACGTCTCCACCTGGAGCCTCTTTCAGGTTCTTCAATTGACTTTTCTCAGCAATCCTCTCAAAGCCGTGCTCATCTCTGTTGCTTCTCCAGATTTTCAGTTTTTTTCATTCAGCCAGCTTCCTGGTAATATGCTTCCATAAAGGCATGAAACATTACATGTAATGAATACAGAATATGTGAAGATTTTCCCCATTTGAATTATGAAAAAATAAACTTTTTAATAATATTCGAATTTTTTGAGATGCACTTGTATATCGCCGTCTACTAAAACCTTCATTTACACACTTCTGGAACACATTTTCCTCAAAGAACCTTTAAAGAAATTTTAAAAAGGCAGAAAAAGTGTGATAATAATAATAAAAATATAATTAAAGACAGAAATCTCTCTTCATAACAAACAGAATTAAGGATATTTGACTCTCAGTGTGCAGAACAGCTGCTGAAGATGAGGTTCAGTCTTCACCCGCCTCCATAACTTTATCTAAATGTGCTGTGAGACGCTCAGAGGAGGTACACTGTGTAGCTTAGATAAGACCTCAGTGAACTAAACATTACTGAACAGATGGCTGCAGGGTAGGAGGGTAGAGAAACTCTCACAGACTTCCTCCTCTGAAAAATCAGATCAAACAGCATCTGCATCTAAACGTCGCTCCCGGCCTGATGAGTAGATGACGTATATTTCTATATATTTACAGCAATAAGAATATTTTATACTCCTCAAAGCCAAAAAACTCTGCAAACAACAAAGTAATAAAGTGAAAGCAGCAGCAAAACAGTAAGTTAGTCGCCTCCAGCTGTAAAAGCTCCAGAGGGGAAGTGATCAGTTACAGGTAGTGTTTGTGTTTGTGTAGAGCTGAAATAAATTTAGCTTCGACTTTTGAACTTCTACACGCGAACATGTTTGAAGGTCACTGCTGAGTCAGGCTCGAGCTGTACACGTCAGCCTAAAGAAATATTCCTCCCTTCATGCATGACTGAGATCAACGGGCTTCCCTTTGTGACGGCGCGGCTGAAGCTTCAGCTGCAATAAAGAACCACGTGTAAATCCAACGTAGGTTTAAAGTCCAGTTTGCATTTTGTTGCTACAGACTTCAACTTTAACGGTGTAACTGTGGTTTGTGCTGGATGTTTCAAAGCTTTTATTTTGTAGTGTATTTGCTGATGTTTGCTGAGCTTCAGTTTGAGGCCAGCAGGTGTTTTACACTCTGAGCCCAGTGATCTGCAGACCATGCAAGAGTTTATTATTTATTATCATTTATACCAAACGGAAAAGCCCGGGCATGAAATGCAGGTTATTTCAGAGATGGAATAAACATGTCAAGGCCATCCACCCATTTTCTGAGTTCAGTCACCTCCTCAAGCTCCTCTGGTTCTGCCCCGAGGCCTCCAACCAGCTGTTTAAAGCCTGGTACAAAGTTATCTTGCCTTCTATTAATATTTCCCCCTTCATATCAATTGTACTCCATATAACTCCCTTCATTAGATTTTACAAAGTCCCAAAGTTAGGATGTTTCTCCCTAAACTGACGGTACTGACTGTAGCTTACAGGCCTCACAGCGTCTGAGTGAACTGTGTTTATGAAGCATTTTTAATAAAAGTATCAGAGAATTAAATAATTTATCGTATCTTAAATTATTAGTCTGTTATGAGTCTAAATAGCAGAAATCTGTGCCTATTTATATATATACGGTTTCCTCACTTATGGTGTGTACAATAGTCAGTAGTTTGAGTAGCTAGAACATGTCATGGTGGCTGTGTCCATCTTCTACGTACAGTCTATTTGCTACACGTGGCTCTTTGTTTTCTCGGAGCTGAATCCTCAGGCTGGGCTTCAAACTGGTGCCAGCAGCATCATCTGAAACAACATGGCAGTGCTGAGTTTGGTCTGTTTTGTGGGTCTGAGGCAGGAAAGTCTGCAGGGTTGCTGCTGCTGTGAG